AATATCTAGGGAAAAACGGAATAATTCCGATCGGAATCCATTCCGAACATTTCCATAATAGGTGCCCTGACGTGATAGAGCAATTCTGCCGCCGGATTCGGATTCAGCGCGAAAAATTACGTAAGAAAACATAGTTAAATCCCAATCAACAAAACCATGCAGGCCTGTGTAATTACTATACGATCGTGTCAGAAGATATAATATAATTGGTCATAGGAAGCGGTCGAGTTGCCACTACAAATGCTTTGAAGAGTTTGATTGACCAATTAAAAGAAAGAATTATAAGAATTGACCAATCAAAAAAATACTTCAAAGCATTTGTAGTAGAAACTCGACAGCATCCATAATATAAAAATCTCGAAACGCTTTTAATATTCACGCCTTTATTAATCCATTGCAATTGAATTATTAATCGTTGTGTAAACATGAAATTTCCAAATTCTAAAATAACTTTACAACTTATTTTAATAATGTCTATTCTTCCTTAGAATCTGGACTAATAATGGCGTGAATAACAAGACCACCACATCATCAAATATTATATCAAAAGCGTTTCAAAATTTATATTGGCTGCGTTCAGCAGAGAAAGCAGCTTTGCAACTGTTGTAGAATTCTTCGATATGATTGGTCTTGCTCTTAGTTCCTCATTGGATCTAAATGTATAAACCAATCATATTCAAGAATTTTACAACAGTTGCAAAGCTGCTTTTTCTGCTGAACGCAGCCATTATGATCAATTATATTAGATCTTCTCCATTTCTTTACATCTTTCATGATTGGACAACAAATTATCAATTTAATTATATTTAATGAGTATTAGATGACAACTTTAAATATCCGACTCTTATTTAGGAAGGCTCCGATTGCACACATTGCATGTTGCACACATGCGTTGCTAATTGGCTAATTTAAAAATAAAATATTCTTATTGGTAAAGCAGTGAAAAATTACTAGGCACCAGCTGAGTGGTGTGTGCAATCGGGATTGTAGGCAAACGGGATCCTCCCCTCTTATTTAATCTGTTAATTGATTTAATCTATCAATTATTGTAACGTCCGGTGCGCCTATAATATAGCGCTCCGTCCGTTTACCAAGCGAGCGCGAGCACGGAGTATAGCGAACGATACAATACGTGCCTACTACAATCACGTTCAGCTATAGGCCAAGCCACCGAAACCGTCGTGATTAAACGCAGCGCGTACCGCGCCTGCGCCAAAGTATAAATACTAAAACCAATGCAAGAATGCATTTTAACAACAAACCATCGATACTACGGGATAAAGAATAATTAAAGATAACAACCAACCTTGACGCAGCTGCAGGGAAAACCCGCAGAACCACGGAAAATTAATAAAAGTGCATAACACCAATGCAATGCATCGCCGTGCAATCCCGAATGCACCAACCGGTCACAAAAGGCCCCTGAATACGAACAAAATCATCGCGGATAAAACCAAAGAGCACATAACTTAAAAAATGCCTTAAATAAACATCAAATTCCACGCGCACAAAGAATAGAAGGATCCGGAACGATACAAGAAACTTATGATGAAAAAAGGCGCAGGAAACAAATGCAACCCCCGCCGCAACGGGCTGCGATACACGATAGCCAAACGCGCCAATACAAATCTCGCGACCCCCGCAGTAGGATAAAACGCGCGATCTAATTAAAACCCTATTATTATTAGAATAAATTATAAATTACACAATCAACACGTAATAGTGATTTCGCAACAGCACATGGACGTCTTTTTACTCATAAAGTAGACGGGATGTAATTTACCGTCTTCTGGGAGTTCTTGCAACAACACAGCTCCGTAGCCACTCTGGCTGGCATCTGTGTGTACTTCCGTCTTATAATCTTGATTATAAATGCTCAGGACTGGCTCTTCGATTAAGCATTGCTTTAGCTTTTTAAATGCTTCGACCTCTTCTGTTTCAAACTGAAAAACTTGCTTCTTCTTCAATAAATCGGTCAACGGTTTAGCAATCCTGGAATAGTGAGGGATGAATTTTCGGAAGTAGCCTGTTAGGCCGAGGAAGCTCTGTATTTGTATAACCGTCTTCGGTTCTGGGAACTTCAGAACTGCTTTTATCTTTTCTGGTGAAGGATATAGTTTTCCGTTTTCTATGACGTGTCCCAAGAATTCGATGCGTCGTTCCAGCAATTTGCACTTCCTTTTATTAATTTCTAAGCCATATTCTTCTACTCTCTTCAGTACCAATTTCAGTCTCTCGATGGCTTCTTCTTCATTTTTCGCTGGTATTATCAAGTCATCGATGTAGGGCAATGCAATTCCTTGGATTGTCAAGTCGTGAAAGATGTCATTGATAAAACGCTGAAAAACAGCTGGCGAATTGCATAGGCCAAAAGGTACTTTTCGAAATTGGTATTGCCCTGCATGCGTCACGAATGCAGTATACTTCTGACTATTCTTGTTCACTGAAACGTGAAAGAAACCATTTCTCAAGTCTAAAGAGCTGTACACGCGAGCCTCTTGTAGGCGATCTAGAATATCTTCTATCAAAGATAAGGGGTAGCGATCTTTCATTATTAGCCTGTTAATTGCACGGTAGTCTATGCAAATACGTGGTGTTCCATCTTTTTTCTTAGTCATCACTACCGGACTGGAATATTCTGATGAACACGGTTCGATGATGCCTTCATCAATCCATTGGTCTACTTGCTCAGCCACAATTTTTCTTTCAGGGAATGGCAACCGTCGTGGTCGTGCAGAGATCTTCTGGTCTTCGTTCAACGTGATTGTCATTTCAACATCGGACTTCTTGACTTTTCTTGGTTCATAGCTATCTAACAGGTTCTTTACCTCCTTTCTTTTTTCCTTGCAAATTTCATGTCCTATAGAAGGTGCTTCTGATATAATAGCGTAATTCGGAGAAATGATGTTATTTAACGTTTCATGTACTTTGGAGATGACAATGTCGTTATGAGTTATATTAACTTCGGCTTGTGATAGTAACTCATTTCCAACGACAGCTTCCATCATCATTGCTTCATCTGCTACAACATAAATCTTCACTTGAAAACGTTCGTCGTCAATGGTCATGACGTCGTCAAAACATCCTATCGGCGCTACTTTATTTCCA